ACACACACACTGTCGGCGTGGTGTCCACAGGGCGCTGGCTGACAGTGGCTCTCCTGGATCTCTGCTACGCCCCACTGAGTCTTATCTCTGACAGACAGAACACACTCACACACACACACATTCACCGATGCCCAAATGCCCATGCACAACACAACACAGCAACACAGGCTGCATTCATTCATCCCCGAGACACAGGGATGTCAGCGTGCGCACACATCCGCTAACACGAGCGCAGCCGGGGGTATTGGTTGAGACCTTGTTGCCCTGGGGCTTTGACTGCATCTGTTCTACAAGAGCCATACAAATGAGAAACGCACGGGAGCAGAGAAAAACATCTGTGTGTTTGTGCAAAAGTTCCCGCATCTGTGAGTGAGTGTGTGAGCAGATATCCAGATACTCATTTTCACGTTCGTCAAGGTCAACTTTTTATTCTCACTTTTTGTGTGTGTGTTTGTGTACGAGCGTGTAATTCTCACTTTAAACGCCACCTCCTCCTCCTCCTTTGTGCTTTTATATTCCTTTATACTTGCAGATGATTCTTCGAAATCTCATTTAGCCCCGTAAATAAATGCAGTTTCCGTAGACGTGAGGCCGCGGCGGCGGCGGCGGCGGCGGCGACGAATCGCTGTCGCCGCGTGTTTTCTTTAACGTGTATTAACTTCCAGGGAGGTGTGAAGTAAGGCGGAGGTGCGAACATAAGAGGAGACGCAATAACGTGGACGCCGAGTGATGGAAAGACGAGGTGAGAAGTCACGCATTATACTTAGTGAGCCTTCCTTTCTGCTTTAAAAAAAAATGCTTTATTCGTATATTAAGGTCGGAATCTGAATAAAAAGGTGCACAATTTGGAAATTTCTAACTTCTGCTGCATCATCAATACAACAGTGGACAAAAAAAGGAGAAAGATGCAACATAAGGAGGCTTTTAGTGCAAATTTCCCTCCTTTTGCTTCGGTGTTATTCATCCAACTTTGCTTCCTCATTTAGTCGACACGGGCAGATATCATGCGCTAAGCTGTCCGGCAGCAGCATTGTGTCAGAAGATTAATCCGCATGCATGAGCGCGACATGCAACACGAGGAGGGTCTCTCTCCACATTTCCCCGGTCACACCTGGCTGAGCAACGCGCTAATTAACCCTGATTTCACTTAGTAGCCCGGAGAACGGACGAACTCGTCGCGGTGACACCTCACGCGTGTGGATTAAGCCGCGCAACCGCACACGTCGTGGATAGAAAGCGCGCACTAAAATCAAGGACAACGACGCACAAATTTAGCAGCACAACGCACACGTGGCTTCGGGGAGGTGAGTTCGTGTGTGTTTGGTTTTGATCGCCGCGCTGGCATGAGCTATTCCCCCGGCACGGTGCACGGCTGACAGCACCTGAGCTTCACGCCACGCACACACACACACAAAAATACACATCCGGCAGGGACGAGCGACACACACACACACACACACACACACACACACACACACACACACACACACACACACTGGGTGTTCTCAGGAGTACAGTCTGTGTGTTCTGCTAACAGATGGTAATGACAGTTTCAGTCCCTGGACTATCATCTAATCAAAACAGACACACACAAACACACACCGACAGACACACACTGCAGCCTCCCATCAGATTAAAACATCCTTCACACCAAATAAGGTTAACAGCATAATTCAAACCGAATATGCATCGAGAACATCACTTCAGCCGGCGGGCCTCTGCACCGAGACGTGGCGCGGCGCTAACGCTTTAGCACACGCCATTTTGATCGACAACAGGCTCGGCGTGAACGCAGCGCTAACGTCGTAGCGTTAATATATGTTAAGCGGTAGTGGGTCGGTGCTAACACGATGTTAGACAACAGCAGACCGAGGGCTGGCGCATTAGCGTATCAGTTCTTACCCTTTAGCACACACTGCTTTAAAGGGGCAACGAGCTAAGGGCTAATGCTAGAGTGCAAAACATTAGCATCAATGGTTTTTAACTGATAAAAGTTTTGCAGCACCTATTTTAAGAAAAAGATGGTTCAGTGAAAACACATTAGCACAAATTATGTTGAGTGATGCTAAGCATGGGGGTGGCATTATGCTAGATAGGATAAGGCCAATAAAGCTGTGAAATGCATCCTGATAAACGTTTTTATTCAGTTGATATCAATAATTACTAATTATTTTTTCAAATAAATAAGAAAAAGCTGGGTCAGTGAAAACACATTAGCAAAAAATATGTTGAGTGATGCTAAGCATGGTGGTGGCATTATGATAGCTAGGATAGCACAAAACAAGATCTGGCTGATAAAAGCTGTGAAATGCATCTTGATAAACGTCTTTATTCCAGTTGATATCAATAATTACTGATCATTTTTTAAAAATTAGAAAATAGGAGAAAGCCGGGTCAGTGATGCTAAGCACGGCGGTGGCATTATAGTGGATCAGATTAGTCCTGAAGGAAATTATCGTCTAAATGTGTCACCGGAGAGGAAAGGCTTAATTAGAATTGACTACTTTAGTGTATTTACCAACATAAACAGGTAATTATTATCTAATTGCTATGAGAATAACCTTTTAATTCAGATAAAAGTTAATAAAATAAATGTCGTCATGCACCATGTTGGATGACAATAAAGCATTCGGTTCTGTTCATTCTAATTCCTGGAACAAGTCTTGGGAGATGCTTTGGGTGGACACATGCTGCTCAGCATCTGTATTTTGGCACAATGAAACTCTCACAGGCGTCTCAAATCCAACAAACGCCGTTTTGAAAAACACCGACATGTACAGTTTACGCTTTAAAAGAATGATACAGATGAGATGCAGGAAGCTGTCTCAACACAACGATGTAAAACACACAAATACATGACACAAGAATTAAAATACAGGCTTCTGAAGGCCACCGTTGGGTTCTTAACCCTGTTCTGTAAGGAAGCCATGACGAATGGCTCCATTAGAAGTACAATCGGCTGCTCGTGAGCCAGACGGAGAACATGCTTGGAGTCCGTTAACGCAACCCCGCTTTCAGAGAACCCGCTAAACTTTCTTCTTAACAGTCTTCCTGTTGCTATTGATGAAGTGTCCGTCGGCAAGGCCAAGCGCTGACGCGAGCGCACACACACGAGTATCGACTGGGCTGACCGACAGCCAACCACAGGCACACAAAACTGCATCAGATTGAATCATTTTGTTCGCCGTGTGAGTAATTGAAGGATCGGGCCTTTTAGCAAACGCCATGATGACCAACAGTGGTGCAATCTTGTACTCTCCAGAGAAGTCAATGTTTAGAGCGCTTTTTTTTTTCATATATATTCCTTCTTCAATCTGACCCCGACAGCCCACGAGTCGAAGGTGGAGACGGAGACGATCATAAAGACCGATTTCACAACACGGAGTGCAACAGAAGGAGACTGGCAAAGGTAAAGGAACGTAATTATGTCTGACAACAACAGATCGCTGCTACGCCGTAATTCTATCAAAGGCTTTACAACGATATTACCCAGCCTCCTCAGCACATCAATATCCCTCTCAGCGGGAGAGAACTGTATTTCCTGTAGACCGCATGAACCATGGGACGGAGGAGTGGGAAGCCGGATCGCAGATTCGTAGTTTTTTTTTTTTCCGAAGCGGATAGATCGCATTAGAGGGTTTTGAATGTCGTCATCAAAGGGATTTATCAAGCAGTGCCGATAACTAAGATGAAAAAAACCTGAAAGAAATGAGTGGGAAAGAGAAGAACGGACAGGAAGTGAAGAGACGCGATCAGTTGTTTTGTCGTTAGCAGTCAAATTACTGCACGTTTCAGCCACAAACACTCGTTTTAGCTTAATTAGCTTCTAAGTGAGACAAAACATGTTTCTGACAACATGATGCAGCCTCTGCTCGCTCTTGCATTTCGGTAAAACTGTAGAGAACTTGTGAAATATTCATGCGGTACATTGCATTTTTTATTTTTTTTTAAAGCCGATTCCATCACATGACATCGGAAATCAATTGCTAGTGTACATGCTGCACTTTTCCGTGGGTCGTTGGGATGTGTTTGGTCGTCTCGGAGATTGATACGATAATGGGAACGTCGAAATCGTCCGTCCGCCTTCGAATAACCCAACCATAACGTGCCTTCCTGGTGAACTGCTGCCGCATTCATCCTCATTTAGGAGAAGTGTTTGGACAAAACTTTTACACTCTTTATGCAAACCGAACACCTCGACTCGGGCGACTGCGAGTAATTGGCGCCTCTTAATTATGTTTGCGTTTTGGAAATTAAAAAGGAACTGAGCGCTCAAAGTGTTTGTTTCAAAGCTTGGGAGGAAGACGGAACCTGAATCAAAAACATTAGGAGGAAAAACGAACTCAAAAGGCGGACGGAGATTGGCAGAAATAGAGTGAAAGAGGCCTCATTGTGAGTTCTAGTCACTGTTCTGAAGTCTTCAGTATTCCGTCCTCAGCGTTCTCGCTGCACTAATGAGCAGCAGCCAAACACACACACACACACACACACACACACACACACACACACACACACAGCTACACAACCACAACACGGGCTTGTTTCCCACTTTCTAAAGAAACTGCCCCACTTTGCTGCATCCACACTGATCGGATTTGTCAAGTGCTGCTCTCTTCCTCCGCCCCGTCCCCATTTTGAATTCATCTCTGGTTTTGAAGTTTACCTCCCGCAGTTTGCCTGAAGGTCGCGCCAGGCGACGCGAGCCGAGGCCGGACGTACCTTTGACGATGAGGTCGGCGTAGTTGGACACCCCCGAGCCGCCGTCGGACCGGATGACGCAGCGGTAGCGGCTGGTGCTGCGCTGCGACGTGTCGCCGACGCTGACGGTCGCCGAGAAGCGCCGGTGGTTCACCACCCGGGTCACCATCAGCGCCGTGTCCTTGCCGTTCCACTGCTGCATGGTGGGAAAGGGAAGACCAGTCAGTTATGGGCAGAAGGCTCCCTGACACCAAATGTAATGTAAACTTGGAAAATGAAGGTCTGCAGGTGTTGTTTTGGCAGACGGGTCGAATGAAAGGAAAAATATGAACCCTTGACCCCAACAGTGAGGACGTCTGGTGGTGCAGTTATGCTGGAGGGAGGATTTTGCCGCCGTGATTCGTCCCCTTAGTGGGAAATATGACTGCTAATCAGTATAAAGAGTCTTCTGCTCAATGGGATCTAGTGATCTACCACAGAAAAATCTATAGCACTGGGGGTTTTTTTTTGTATTTTCTTAAAAAACTGTAAAATTGGACGCATCCTTGGAGTCAAAAACGAGAGTCGTCATTAACAGCAGGCTGCTGTAAAAGCTGACGGTTTCAACTTGTAACATGGAATGACACAAATGAGACCAAAAACAACAAAACAGAGACAAAATTTGACACAGAACAAGACACAAAACAATAAAAACGACACATAAAATGACAAAAAAATGGCACAAAATGGCACAAATGGGCCACAAAACGACAGAAAAAACACACAACAACACAAACCAGATGGAAAACAACTAAAGCTAGACACAAACCAACAAAAATGAGACAACAAAGGATGGGTTTGGTCTCCGGTTGGATGACCTTCCCACTAAATGGTTCAATGACGTTAAAATTATGTGAGCCCAATTCAACAGCTGTGGCAGATTTTGGACCGACATGTTAGACGACATTAAAAGACCAAATGAGGAACCTTTTAGAAGAAAAGTGTTCCATCCATCTGAATAGAGTTTAAAAGACTTGGAGTATCAATGCTGGGGTATCTCAAAAACACTTGTTTTTCCCTTTAATTTGTCGCCCGTCTGTCTGTATGTGACTGTAAACTCCATCACATCTGGTTTGTTGCTATGTGGAAAAACACCTGCACTGAAAAATACAGACGTAAAAGTGTAAAAGAGCCTTTTATAGATACGATGCATAGTTTAGATTTACATCTTCATGCAGCTGAGGGACTCACAAGAAGACAAATTAAAGACAACAGTGATCAAACTTGGCCAAGAAATACAGATTTTTTTTTTTATTTACTGAAGTTCTGGTTTATTGGAGGCCCGGGCGGGAACCAGAAGCCATTTAAACAGCACAAGCCAGACATGAAATCTAAAAGGTGTGCCGCTGCCACTTCTGGCTTGACACATGATCCTTACATCCCCGTGTCCAATCTTTTTTAACCGCTGTATTATCGGCCAATTTGGAAAAACACGTTTCCCCCCGGCGGAGCCTGTCAGGAGGGTCACTGCTCTCCATTGCAAATGTCATTACTGAACCCCGCAGCGCGCTCACGTGCACGCGAGAAACACGCGAGCCTGCCGATGCACACGGATGTAAACCAGAATGAGTACATGGGCACGGTTGCACACACACAACACAGACACACACACACACACACACGGACGCACAACACGTCACTCGTGCAGAGATGGAGTCATCGGTGCGAAGCAGAACAAGGACTTTTAATCAATCCTGAAATAGAGCTGGGAGAGCTGCTGGGGATGTTTGCCACAGAGTACTTCTTTTTTTTATTATTATTATTATTTTTGAATAAAGTGGAATAAATGAATCATAACTGCATTTGCTACATCGGCTTTTTATACAATTTAGAGTTTTATTGCTGCATACTAAACGCCTGTTTACCCCCGTGGTCCATTACAATCATCTCAACTCAATTTATAAAGTAAATAAAATACAGAAATTCTAAAAAACTTATTAAATTTACACCTCGAGAAATGGACAACAAACACAGCTTTGATTTTTTTTACCAATAAAAAGCGGCCCAGGGTTACTGACACAGAAAATATTGCACTCAGTGGAGCAAAAATACCGCCTAATTTTCTTTGCAGTAATCTTCTTTAATGAGCCCATCAGATTCCCGTCTCAATTTTACTCCAACATGTACATAAATATAAATACACTGCAGTAAAATGCAAAGCAAATGCAGCCACGTTCTAACGGTGCTGTGCCGTTTGGTCAAAATATGGTTAAAAACTGTTAAACTGGATGCTTTTGTGTCGTCAAAGACAAGAATGAGCATTAACAGCAGGTTGCTGAAAAACTAATGGAGTCAAATGAGCAAAAGATTTGACACAAAATGACACAAACGATACAAAAAACACCACAAACTAAACAGAGAACGACAAAAAACAAACATAACACGATAAAAACGAGACACAAAACTACAGTTAATGTTGATTAGTGGGCATCACGACATAAAAACTGTATATTATTGGAACGTCTAGTTATAGTATTAAACAGTAAACCTCATATTGTTCATGCAAATTACATTAGCAACACTGTAAAAACACAGTATTTTAAAGTAATTTGACATTTTTACTGATTTTTTTTTTCCTTTAAAAGTCGCTAAAAGCCCAGAAGCCCAGCATCACTCATCTATAATGTACCCACACTGGGATATTCTGTGGTTCAGGACTCTATTCAACATATATTTCACCGTTACAAACCAGAGCTCTGCTTATTTATCACAGTTTTGGACACTTCTGAGCTCCCTTACATGCCGACATCACTCAGAACCTCCTGGTACCAACCTGCAGCCAGAGCTTGTCGTGCTGGGACCACTTCCCTCCGGCCGTGCACTGGAACGTGGCGTTCTGACCCACGTTCACCTCCACGTTCTGCAGGCGCAGGAAGTGAGGCGCTTTACCTGCAACGCAAAGCGGGGACAGCGTGTAAACAGGTGGGCGACACAGTCCACAATGTGCACAGTGTTAGTTTGTTAATGAATTTAGCTGAAGACATCAAATGTATGAAGTGTGAAAGGGGAAAAGCACCCGGGTCACGTGGGTTCAAGCTTTTTTTTTAATTAGTCTCTTGAGAAACGTCCCCCTGGATGAATTAATTCTGTCTGAACAGGTCCTCGGGCTCTCTGAACTCAAACAAGTTCGATAATCACGTATCTGAGGCTGCTGAAAGACGCCACGTTGTTGCTGAAGACTTCACGCCGGTGCTGAGAACGAAGGAAAACAGAACTAATCCACTTAAAACAGAACTTAATACGGCTGTCTGGAGGGAGGCGGAGAACGTCCCGGTCCGTCAGGCAGACAGACGTCGGGTGACTTTGGTCTGGCATTGAGACCAGCCCACGAGTGGTTAATTTCATTTGGACCGTCTGCAGACAGAGATCAGCCTAACGGAGTCTGCATCGATCATTTAGCAATGATAATTTGCTCTGACACTAATGGTCAGGTTGTTGCAAATGACAAGGACTTAGATATGAAGCTTGTTTTTTTTTTAATAGCTCTACACAATTTGTGCTCTTCTCCTCCGTCTGCTTGCATTACATCAGAGTTTTCTAGTTGTTGTTGTTTTATTCCATTGTGAGTACGTCTGCTTATTCTCCACCACTGACTCACCCACTCCTGACTAATCGGATCAGTAGCTGGCAAACATGGACTTAGATGCACATCTGAACAAGACAAAAGAGGACCATGTAGGTAGGTATAGAAAAAAAAGACTTTAGGATAAAACATCAAAAAGAACTTCTGGTCTTCTTGTGGAGTCTTAAATTCTGTATAAGTATTTAGGGAATGAAGACGACTGACTCCCTAAAAGTAGGAAGATCTCGTAAAAGCACATCATCAGTTCAGGAACAAGCAAACTTCCAGAAGACAAAAGGGGGGTTGAAGCACATTAAATGGCTTCGCTGTGTCTTACCTACTGAGTCAGAGTGGACAAAGACACGAGACGTCGCCTCAGACTAAAGCCTGGATCTGTCAGAGGTTTGTTGTGTGACTGATGGGTGATGAGATGAAGATGAAAACATCAGCACCAGTACATGATACTGGACCAGCCGGCTGCTCTGCTGGTTCACTGCGTCTCATATGTGCTGCTCTCTGTCGTTTTGTGTTTTGTTTTTGTTGTTTTGTGTCTTGTTTATATCTTTTTGTGTGTTGCATGTGTCGTTTTGACTTGTTTTTGTTGTTTTGTGTGTCCTCTGTGTCGTCTTGTGTCTCGTATTGGTTGTTTGGTCCAATTTTGTGTCTCGTTTGTGTCAGCTTGTGTCTCGTTTTTGGCTTTTGCTTCTTGTTTGTGTCGTTTTGTCTCTTGTTTTTATCTTTTTGTGCGTTGCATGTGTCGTTTCGTGTCACGTATTTGTTGTTTTGTGTCATTTGGTCTCTCTTTTGTGTTGTTTTGTGTTTCATTTGTGTAATTTACTGCTTTGTTTTTGTTGTTTTGTGTGTTCTCTGTGTCATCTTGTGTCTCGTATTGGTTGTTTTGTGTAATTTTGTATCTTGTTTGTGTTGTTTTATGTCTTGGTAATGTCTGTTTGTGTCTCATTTTGTTTCTTGTTTTTGTAGTTTTGTGTCTCATTTGTGCCATTTACTGTCTTGTTTCAGTTGTTTGAGTCTTTGTGTCGTCTTGTGTCTCGTTTGTATTCTTTTATGTCTCGTTTATGTCAGCTTGTGTCTCGTTTTTGCCTTTTGTTTCTTGTTTGTGTCATTTTGTGTCTTCGATTTATTGTTTTGTGTCATTTACTGTCCTGTTTTTGTTGTTTTGTGTCGTCTCTGTGTCCTGTTGTGTTCCGTATTGATTGCTTTGTGTCGTGATAGTGTCGTTTTATGTCAAGTTTTGTGTTCAGTCTGCTACTAACAGCCTTCTTGTTTTTGGCATCAAAAAAAAAATCACATTACAGTTTTTAGAAAACACTACACGACTGTATTTTAACAACAAATATGAATTGATGTCACACGTGATTGACTAATTCATCAGTGTGCTTCGGTGTGAAACAACAAGGATCCCGCTAAAGCTGAACTAATCTGAACCTCCACGCAGCCCAATAAGAAGCGACGGCGAGCTCGTGAGAGAGAAACAGCGAGCAGACAGCGAGCAGGAAGTAGGCCACAGAGTGGTGCAGTAAGCAGTCCACAGATTTTTTGTGAAGCAAAGTGTTTCTGTCAGATTTGAGTGATGAAGACCCTGAGTTTGGACCTTCTTCCTGGCTCTCTGCAATCTGTCTGCAGGCCTCACAATCTGTCCTTTACGCCGTGTGTGTGTGTGTGTGTGTGTGTGTGTGTGTGTGTGTGTGTGTGTGTGTGTGTGCTGGGTAGCTATAAAACAGATGATGCTCAGCGGGGCTACAGTTGTGCAGGGTCAACCGTTGCCGCGACGCCACACATACATACACAACCGCTCTCACTTACGGCACGGGTGGGCCAGGACTCGTATGTCATCGATGCCGATGAAACCCGGGTGGCCTTGGACCGAAACGGCTTCGAATATTACCTGAGAGCAAAAAAAATAAAAAGAAAGGAAACGTGGAGTCACAGTTTTCTGACGTACAGCACAACAGACTGAGAAACTTTCTTTTATCCACAATCTGCAACATCTTGACGTCCCGTGCAGCTCATATGGGAAGCCCAGGGGAATCTTCCACCACAAGTCAGCAACTATTCCTCTTCTCCACTCCGTCCCTTCTGTCTCCATCCTTATGCCGACCACATATGCCGTCCTTCCTCTGTTTAAACCCTTTTTTTTTTCCCTCCTCCTTTCCTGCGTTCCCCTCGTCTTTCCCCCTCGTCTCTACGCATCTCTTTATGAGCCATTGTTCTGCTCTTCTTGTAATTGCTCCTTTCCTCGGCTTGGCTCCCACCAGACCGGTCCTCGGACTTCTTTCCTCAGACTTTGTGCTCACTCTCGGGGTGACAGGCAGTCAGCAGGGCTGTCAAGGGGCCACGCACTCCTGACCCACACATAGACACAGCTCAGCACACACTGCTGCGCACACACACACACACACACACACACACCTCTGTGCTGTACTTGTCAGGATCCTCAACAGTATAAGCTGTGACTCAGTCTGAATACTAAAGACTTCTGGGAAGTCTTCACTCTCTTCTGTTCCTTCAAAATATAAATCCCCTCCTGTCTGGCATGCATGTCAAGTTTCTAGAAGTCAGAGACACCGACTTAGCCTTTTTTATTTTTTTTATTTTTGGTTGCAAAAACAACAAGTCGACGGTGTTGTTTCCTGTGTTAATTTGGAATACGATAGCATTTAGCGCCGTCAATTTATTCTCCATTGTGCGATTCTGATTTTTCACTCCCACATTCTGACTCAATCTGATAGAAACTGACTCCAGTGATTTGGCTTAAAGGTGCATTGTGTAGTTTTTATAGCAGCCTTTAAACTTTCCTGACTTTCTTTAAGCCTTTTTCTTATTGTCACAGTCACTTGTAGCCAAAATCCTGCATTCCTTCACTTAAAACTACTTAATAAAGGCAAAACACAAACACTGAAGATGATCATTTTTGCAGCTTTGCTTGAAGTTCTGATTTTGTTATGATTAATAACAACATTTTGCAGTTTCAGGCTACATTTGCATCAGAATTGTTGTTGCACTGTTGAATAGTATTTGATTAACAGTATTGAGTCCGTTATTTATTTTTCATTCTCGTTGTTTTGTTTCATTTCATACAACCTGCACAGTCAACTCAACTTGCACATTAAGTCGGTCACACTGTGTTCATTGTAGCCCCTTTACTGTTATACATCCATCCATCATCTATACACCGCTTAATCCTCACTAGGGTCATGGGGGGCTGGAGTCTATCCCAGCTGACTCAGGGTGAAGGCAGGTTCACCTGGACAGGTAACCAGTCTATCACAGGGCTACACTTAGAGACAGACAACCAAGCACACTCACATTCACACCTACGGACAATTTACAATCACCAATTAACCTCAACATGTTTCTGGACTGTGGGAGGAAGCTGGAGAACCCGGAGAGAACCCACGCTGCACGGGGAGAACATGGAGACTCCACGCAGAAAGATCCCGGGTATCCTCACCGGGACGCAAACCGGCGACCTTCGAGGCAATGATGCTAACCACTGAGCCACCTTGCAGCCCTCTTTTTCTATTATTCTATTTATATAGACTTAATTTACTATATTTTCTAACTTGCTGTGATTTGGTGTTTTCCTTTTTGCTGCTGTAACTAAATAATTTCCCAGGTCTGGGATCAATCAAGTATTTCTATTCTATTCTATTCTATTCTAAAAAAATCTTTGCTTTCATCTTAGACATCTATATCAACATACTATAACCCATTCTAACACATTATTGGTGCAAAACATTTACACAATTTCCAAAGAGCTGCCCTAAAAGTTTGCTCTTGCCCTCGGTGCCCTGCAGCACTTTGTACTTTAATATGACAATGTTTTGTGTTTTTTTTGTCATTTCAGAAGAAGAAAGTGTTATTTCTCCATGGGAGGCGACTCCTCATTAGAGGGAGAAACACGCACAAAGACACGCAAACATTTAATTCACTGTGGCTAGCAGCGGGCCTTGTATCTGTATGTGCCACACAGGGGTGCCTTCATTTACCGAGCACAGCTCAGTCATTAGGGTAAGACACACTCGCTGTGCTTCCTCAATGAAACGGCACAGCGGGGTTCGTCTCTGCACCTTAAACAGACCGGCACACAATAGACAGACGGACTGAGTCATCTTTAAGCGGCACTGCAACATTTTTCAGTCGCAATATTAAAGAAGCACACCCGAACATTTCCTGGTCGTCGCATTATGTGTGAAGTGATAAAAGTCAATCGACAGTCCCGGCTAATGGCCGCAGTTTACCTTAAGCTGTCCTGAGCTACTAGCGTTAGCTGTTTATTGAGCAATAAAACATCATTTAGACCCACAGCTGCGTGAACTCTGCAGCATTAACATACAAATCTATGTTTTGCAAAGTATTCTTTTAGGTTTTCATGAACGCATTGTGTGTTTTTTAATTAACGCACACAAAAACAACAGACTTACATGCAAATCCTTTGATAAAATTCAATTTATAGATGCTAAAGGGTCTAAATTTCCTCCTTTTTGAGTTGCTGTCAGTCACCTGTAGTTGGGCTTTTTCACTTACGATGTATTGACAGGTCACAGGAGGACAAAAACATCTGTTTTTAATGTTGTCCTGAATACGTTTTTCACTCAAAATGTTTGCTGTGAAGTCGTGTCGCTCAACACGCAGCACAACATCAGCTCGAGACGTAAAGACGAATTTATGTTCTTATTGTTAAAACACACAAACAGCCCTAAACTGACTAAAGACGTGTTTATTAGTAATTATAATGATGATAAAATTGCTTAAAGCTAACTAAGTAGCAAAGTTAACTGAGCTGAAAAAACATTTTAAAGGCTGACAGTCAAAATAAATACATACTTTACAGGGACAATTATATGTTACATATATTTACATGACAAATATTTATAAGGACTAAAACAGAAGTGAACTTATGGCGACATTAGCTAAGAAAATGTGGGATTTTTCAGCTTCCCACAGCAAAGACAGTCACCTTCTTTAGCAGTACACACACATTTATTTAAGGAAATAGTTTAAAAAGTCAGACAGGACAGATAAACTATCACATTTTGATCAAAAACAAAGTTTTACTCGTCATTTCTGTGAATCATTTTAATACATTTTTAGTTCCATCATGCAGTTACTGTATGAGATGTGTTCAGGTACAGTCAGAAACAAGGAGTTTGTGTTGCGTACCTGATAGGAATTGGGCCAGAACGTAGAGATGGCCAGCTCGGCCTTCACCCAGCCTTCAGTCACAGTGTCGGAGGCGTTCCACACCGGGTTTCCCTGAGCGCCTCCATTAACCTGCAACAGACAGCGTTCAGTAGAAATCAGTGAATAAAAGCAACGACAGGTCGTCTGCTGCACCTCGGAAGGAAAAACTGAGAATTTAACACAAACGTAAAGGTGTCGTTTCTCATATTTAGTAACAGTATTGATTGTATTTACTGTTATGAAACCATAAAAAAACATCATTATTCCCAAAAGGTCGTCTTTAAAATATTGAGGTTTTGTGGCATTTTTTCGCCTTAACTGTCGGCAAATTGCTTCGTGAATCTGGTTCTAGTGTCTTCATGTCATGTCCCATCTTTCATCCCTTTCATCCCTCACCAGTCTGTCCCTTCGTCTCTTCATCCGTCATCTGCAGCTTCCTCTTAATTCCAACCAGATGCCCGTCAGATCCATCATACCTCAACGCAAGACATTCGTTGTTGCGGGCCTACTGAGGCTCAAAAACACCCGAGCATCCCTCCAAACACACTTACTGATGGCTTATTCTAACCCATTACATGCTTAAAATCAGCTTTTGTGGACTTAAAACTACAATTCAAGCCTGCTTCTGTACAAGAAATTCTCCAAAAACCACAGAAAGTACCAACCCTGACCATCAAATGCAGTGTACTCGTGCTAAAAGGGACTAGATGATGCATTTCACCTGCCCATCAGTCATCCTCCCTCTCTCTCCAGAGCACACACACACACCGCCGTAAATACTCAAAGCCTCTGAGCGAACTTCATCCCTCGCTGACAGAGTACAGAGGTCTGTTTGTTTGTTTACCCGTTAAGTCTATCGGCCCCATCATCTGTCAATCCGTCGCTCCCCTGTCATGCGCTGTGGACACTCACCTTGATGTAGACGTTCAGAGTGCCCGGGCTCGCTCCGTCCCGGCTCGACAGGGAGTACAGGAAGTCGATGCAGTGGGTGTCGTTCTCCTTCAGGGTGGGCATGTACAGGTGGGCCTTCTGGCCCGAGGCCCGGCCGGACGCGTTCACCACCATGAACGAACCTGCAGACGAACAGGAAGAAGAAGGTCAGTCAGTGATTATTAACGGGGTTGTTCCACTCAATACGACAACAGACACTGTTCTGAAAAACACTTTTTAACTGGTCTTCATTTTGCTAAAGTCTCAGAAGGCATTAGAGGTCCCACACGGAGAAAATCCATTTTTATTGTGTTTTGTTTGTCTTAAAAACTTGGGAGGTGAAAAATAAAAGCCGTCCGTCAGAATTTCATTTATTTTCCGAGTAGGAATTTGAGGAACAAACACTAAAAATTTGCCTAATCGTGCCGCCTCACTGCTTCCAGCTAAACCGTTCAGAACCAGCAGCTTCCTCACAGTCCAACAGCTTGATTTACTTTCCAGCTTCTGCTAAACTCTAAAATGTCTCAGCCATGGAGCAAACCTGACCGATTGGTCTGCTGTTGGCTGCAAGAGTGAACACAAGCGTCTTCATGCACTCCCAGCACCTGATTATTGTTATTAATGATTATGGCGGCATCACAAAAACAGGTAAACCCTCAGTGTTAGCACGTTAAGGAGCTGATGTGGCTAATGTTGGTATTAGGTCAGAGCTAAGGCAGAGATTCAGAGATTGTAGAAACTGATTTTAAAACAGTAAACGAGGACGGGGTTGGTCACCTATTCTGCTTTTGTTTGTTGCTTTCCTGCTCTCTCCCGTTTGCTCAGAGGAAGTCCAAAGGCAACTTTGGATTGTTGGGTTCTAAATTTGTAAGCTCTACACCTTCCTGCGTTAAGCGCTGTGAGATGGCATATGATGTAACAAACAAATAAAACTGACTTGACTCTCTGTGCTCACATATACTGTATTTTAATTTACCGACAAAATTTATGAATATTCAGATCACAAAACTGATATCCGGATACCGCCACACTGACCGAATATTTGGGTATTCGGGTGTTGGGGTCCAGCCCCAGTCGTCAGACAACAGAACGAAACACATTCAGGGTACAAGTCAGACTTTTATTAACTTGCTGAAAAGGGGGCACCATATGGGTACTTTAAGTCGTACTACTCCTGCTGAAATGGAAATCACTTTTGGATGTTAAGATCCTGATACACTCCAAAATGGACTCCAAAAAAAGTTATCTTATATTTAGGTAAATCAATTTTAAAGTAGCTTCATTCCAGTCAAACTGACAATGAGAACAGGGACAATGCTAACTACATAGCTAACAATGCTAGTTTACCGGTTTTGCTCCACGGCTCAACAACCTGCTGCCTCTGTTGTCTCATGAACATCTTGTGAGACTCTTTCCCATTGTAATATTTACTCAGAGTATTTTCTTTTGTTGGATTGTTAGATGAATGGTCAATGATTTCCACAGCAGGGCGGGTGACAATACTGGCAAAGAAAGTTGTTAATTCGTTGTTGCTGTGCATCAAAAAAATCTTCTGCTTCACTTGTTTTTTTCTTTCCACTTGTTCCTACAGTTCTCTTTATATAGCTGCATTAATGAGCAGGTTGCAAAACTCTACGGACTTGTTTCCTTTTCGGGTTCTGCTTTGAAGCGCATAGAAAAGGGCAACCCAGTTTCCATGCCACCATTTCTCTTGCAGTATGGCTGCACGCCTTCCTGACTGATGTGACAGAGACGTGCCGCAGTTTGTTAAACTAATTACCGCTAACCAAAACTATTAATTACCAAGTAGTGGTGTGTGTGTGCTGCGAAGGAGTTTTGTGCAGCATTCGCTCGATGCAGCAAAAACACTAAAAAAAAATAAAAACACCTCGAGCTCTTTAATTTACCTCAACTGTATTTCAATGCCTTAATGTATCCACACCCCGGGGGTTCTGAACCGAGACGTAAAACACATTTTCTCTGTCAACTCGTGGTTTAAGTGTGTTTTAGTCTCTGCTTTATGACACGGGATGGAGCTTTTATGGGTCGGCCGGCTCCATTTGGCCGACTGCCATCAGCCGGACCGAGAGTTAGAAGTGACTGAGAGACTATTTGGCAAGAGAACCGATAAGGGGAGATAGTGAATCAGGCAGGTGCGGCTCTGAGGTTCTACCGGTGTCCGTGTGCTCGTGTTCGCTCGGCTGCATGCGTGAGGAATCGTTCTGAGTTAATGTGGAGTTTAAAAAAAATAAAGTGTGGCGGCTTAAGAAAACATCAGGACTCACTAACTTCTTTCTGTTTTCACCTGTTTCGTCTGATTTTAATTGTGTTGAGACCGTCGATGCATCCATACCGTATCATTCTCCCTTCGCTATTAATAATTTCCTGCAGTGTTATTTCCCAAAATGCCTGTTTGGAAGATTTAGAATTTACAAATGAACCCTGTTTGCTGCAGCGACTGTACAGAGGGGAGACGTGTGGATTCTAATGTAAATGCAACAACAAAAGAAGTTGAATAAAATAAGAAAATAAGACGGGATATAAACAATTTCTTATGTTGCAGATGTGAATTTCTTGAAACCGTGCATTTTGATTTTAAAGGGCAAAGCGGGACCATTGCATTTATGAGGACATGGAGTGACTTAGACTTAACTCCTACATGATTAGCATAACTTTAAACTAACCTGCTAATTCTAAACTTGATCAAAAATACAAGTTTGAACCCCTAAATAACTCATTTAGCTTGTGCCAATAAAATAACACACCAAGACGTCTCCATCAGTGAATGTTTTGCACCCGAGTGTGTCGATGTGGGCGATTATTATGGGATGCAATAAGAAACGAGGACAATCAAAGGGCATCATCCATGACCCTGAATCACTATTTTGCATTCACACACGTGCAGACAACAATACAGGTGGCTAAAAGAGATTTTATTCATCGCTCTTGCCTCGGCTGAATGGAATTAATCCACACCAGCAGCACGGTGGGAGTGTGATTGTATGCATACAGCGCACATGTGTGTGTGTGTGTGTGTGTGTTAATACTGTCACTGTGCGGTCGCCTGCCAGACGTCTTATTACCGAAGTAAAATGCCGGTTTATGTGCTGGCTCGTGAGTGTTTGTATGTTAAAGTAATCTTCTAACCCGACTCTTTCTACAGCGAACCGGGGCTTGATTACATTTCTTATTCACACACACACACACAGAGACACACACATGCACAACACTCTATTTTTACGTCCTTTGATGCTCTGTAAAGCTCTTTCTAAAGGGACTTCTTTTTTTTTAAAGTTGACTTGAGTCTATCCGACACTCAGACGATACGTGTGATGCTCGTTACCCAGAGACGTCTCTCACTATGACAACTGTCTCTGTGGAGGAAGCAGAGGTGTTACAATGCGCGCACACATGCAGTCACACATATGGAACGATGTCACGGTAACTGTAACGCATCCTCGGTGCGCACGGCGTGGACGTCCCGGGCTTATATAGTATCACAAAACCCTATTTTCATACAAAGAAACATCACAAACAAAATCATTCAGTCACACACGACAACAAACATCCACACGATGCCACACGGCGACGAACACATCACTTCACACGTTGTTCGCCAGCTGTGAGGTCAGAGAGGAGCAATCTGTTAACGTGAGAAAAACTGATGAATCTGTCTGCCGCGTCGACGCACACACACACAAACAGACACACACTCGCACGTAACATCAGAATAAGTGGGTCAGCTCGGTGCAACAAACGTTCCTGCACACGGCGCCACGCGAGACCAGCTGTTTTTTTTTATTTTTTGTTTTTGTCGAGAGTTTTCAGATTTTATTTCTGCAGAGCTGTCGACATCAAAGAGCAGCGGAAGCCGTCTCTCGGCTGCCGCGGTGCCTTTGAGCAAGGCGTTTGACTCCCCCCTCGCCGCCGCCGTGGCGTTCAGTGTGTCGACGGGGTTTCAAAACACAGCACACGCTTTCTCTCTCTCACAGCGACAACAGTTGGGTTTCACGCCGACACGCTCGCCACGAGTCAAGCGAGGCGTTGGAGTCGTATTTTTATACACAGTGTTACATCTGCTTTGGTGTCGTTTACTACGTGAGGCTGTTGCATGCACTCGTCTGGCCAAACAAATATTTAAAAAAGAAATTCAAAATGTCGTTTAACATGAATGAACTTTCAGTGCGAGAGCTAAAGTCTGGATATTTGATGAATGTGTTTCTGTGACAATAATGACAGCATGACTTAGACAGAAAATCAGATGTGAATGAATGATTATTATATTGTCAAACCGTTATTATTATATTGTATTTTATACGATATATTATTACTATATTATATTACATAATAATAACAATACTTGTCATCACATATGCTTTGATTGCTTTGCTACTAATCAAGGGCCCACAAAGGATAGAATTTAGTGACAGTGACACAAATCAATACAAAGAAAAAACTATTCAGCACAAGGATGCCATGTGTAGTTACTTGGCAGCGATGACAATTTGATCAGTTGGTTATTTTTAAGGATCCATAACACATTACGTTCATCTGAATACGTTATATGTCACCATCTCAGCCGTGATCGAGAAATTCCAAGACTGCACTGAGACACGCCTTCGTGTGCAGCGATACACGGCTCCCATTGCTCCTGCCACATTTATAAAACTCTCTAGAAGATCAGTTCCGACCACCTGCAGGCGCCCACTTGCGATCAAACTTGTACACATAGCGAACATCAAATTCTGTGTCAAGCTAACCCAACCTTCACGATCATCACTGGTAGTAAGAGTTGGATCTGCAACCCAGAGATCAAGCTTCAATGGGAGAACCTGCGACCTCGAAAACTGAAGGCAGGTGGTTGATCGGATGCATACTCACCACCATTTTGCTTGACATTCTCAGGGTTTTGGTGAGACTCTTTACACTGAGTTCTACTGTGATGTTCTGAGGCGTCTGACAGAAAACATTCAGTGCAAATGACCTCAACTGTGGCACGTATTACTGAGTCTGTGCATGCCTGCTCAAAATGCAATGGAAATAAGGGTTTGGCCACACTAAGCTCGCCCCGTTTGCTAGATTTGACTTCCTGTGACTTCTTCCTCTTGCTCAAAATTACATTTAAAATGAAGGTGCACCATTT